GCCCGCCCCCGCTTCCCTCGGCCTGCGCACACCCGCGCTGCCCTGCATCCGGGCTCCGGCGGTGTAGAGGGGGGTGGGCGCCGGCCCCGCTGCCCCCGCCCGCGGCTGCTGTTTCCCCGGTCGGGGGGGGAGCCCCGCCGGGTCCGTCACACTCTTCTTCAGGGCCAGCCCACAACATTTTGGCACCTGAGGTGGGGAGCTCAAATAATGCCCCCATGCCACCTTTTCTCCTGCCTCCTGTTATGTCTCTTGTACCCTCCTTCCTCCAGCACAGCACTCCACCATCTCTGTGCATCTAGAGCAGAGAGAATACATATGCACAAGCAACAGACACAATTTTCTATACTCTGAGTCCTAGTGGTGCCCCCTACACACAGTCTGGCACCTGAGGCAGCTGCCTCAGTTCTCCTCATGGTAAGGCCAGCCCTGCTCTTCTTTCTAGCTTCCTGGTTTGGTAGTGTGCTGAAGAATACTATTTATAATGTGTGCTGAGCAGCTTATTTGCACATAGGACTTGAGGGCAACCCTTCTGTAATCATCTATCCACAGATCAAGGGTAATCCCTCCAGCTACTGTGCCCAAACATCTTTTTCAGTTCTGTGGAGATTTGATTTCTTTTTTCTTCTGCCACAAGTGCAGCATACTGGGCTAATGTTGTGGAAAGTGTCATTAGTACACGTCCATCCACTTCATCACATTTTGGCACCCAAACATGCAAGGAATCTCTCATCCCAACTACCTCAAAAGGCCTTATGTCTTGTGTGATAAATTTCAATAATGCATGAGTTACAGTTGTCTTCGTGTCTTGTGTGACAGTGTCACATTTCTTGGTGAATATCTCTTCAACAAACTGTATCCTGATTCTGGTCTACATTTGTGTTTCAGTGAATTTGAAGTCCCAGTTTTTATGGTTAACTATAAGTACAGACATTTTTGCATTTGACACATGCAATATCTCTGGTCACAGTATCTCTCTTTTCATCAATAAAAAATCTGAATGTATTCCAAATTGGTGATTTGCCTTTCTCATTTCCCTTCAAACTGTATGCACCAGCACTTAATTTCTTTTCAATTTCATTCTCCATTGACCACTGGCTTTTCAAATACATACTGTTTAGAAAGTTTTCTAGTGGCAATTGACAAGAGAGAGATGCAGGATGTCAGTTCATGCTGATGCATTTAAAAAGTGGTCTTTTGCCTCGTGGTATGAGCTGACTGTGAATAAATGGGGTGCATGGTACAGACCAGAGGGCAAAGTTTATGGTACAAACCTTAGGATGCATGATGCAGAGTGCAGCATGCAAAGTGAATTGCCTAAAATGTAGATGCCAGGGGGGTGAGGCAGTGGACATGGCAGCGGAGTCATAGCAAATGTGTTGTGTTTCTCCACACGTATCCTTCTGCTGTGCACTAGTAACGGGAAGCATCATTAACTATGCCTACGTAAAGGCTCGTCCTCTAATTTTGTCTTTGCAGTTGCACAGGGCAAGTGCCATAATGCAAGGGCTAAAGTTGACTGTCTCAGACTCTGTCTTGTATTGGGATGCATAATACACTGCAGGTGCCACGACCTGCACATAGGGAAGCTGCCATTTGAATTCCCCCGGGGTAGGAGATTGTGGGGAGGGGACAAGGAAGCCAGAGACATAATAGGGGTTTATGGCCTGAGACCTGCACTACCACACCTTTATCCTGCTGAGGAGCATGGTCAGGGCATGGGTGGTTGCCTACCCTGCTTTGCCTGCTAGGTGCTCCTACCGAGGAGCTTGTCCCGCTCTCCCCACTCCTCAGCACTTACAGGAGTGTGGGGATTGAGACATTTGCTGAGGAGCACGACTGGGACAGGGGTGCTTGTCCTGATCCTCATTAGGAGCGCCTGGTAGGGCAGAGCAGAACAAGCAACCCTGTCCCAGCCACACACACTTTTAAAAGTCCTAAGGACTAGTGATGGGGGGGTATGTGCAGGAGGAGATGGGAGGCAGGGTCTGACGGGGAACAGACGTGAGAGGGGAGCAGGGTCTGACGGGGAACAGAGACTGAAGAGGCTGGGCACGGCGCGTAATGGGCACTGCAACTCAGCTGCTCAGCATTCTAAAATCAATGGAGGCAGCAGCATGGCAGGTTAGTAGAGCCTTTTTGTAGTAGGCACATACACTCCAATATCCACAGAATGAATGGTGGATACCCGCATGTGCAGATTCGGATAGCCACAGATATAGAGCAGATAACTGCAAAGTTTTTAGTTGAGTATAGGTTGTGGCTAGTGAATACTGCCATAGAAATCAGCTCTTACGTTATCCCAGCATTTAATTTAGGTCTTCCAAATCTGTACATGATACTGTAGCAATGTAAAGTTTAAATTAGTTGGCTATGGTTTGGTATTGACCTGCACATGGTCAAAAGCTAGAGGGCTCATATTGGAATTGTAGGAGCAACAATAGTTCTGGAAAACTAAGATATGCAGTACATGACTGACTAGAGTTCCTGCAGTCATGCTCAAGAAGTCAACAATATAGGAAGAAAATATCAAATGCAAATTATTTCAGGTGGGAAATGAATGAATAAATAAGCTGTAACAGCTCTGTATTTTTCCAAGAGATGCTATTACAATCAGGGCAGTATTTACTGTCTGTTTGATATTATTTATCACTGCAGCTGCTATATGTTCAGTTAGATTATCTAATTTTTAACGTAATATATTCGAACCTTGCTTTTTGGAGTGATATGTTTCTTTATAACCACACCAAATGAACGCCATATTGCTTGCTTGAATGTAATTCATTTTCCTCTTTGTTGTGTCGGGATTTTTTTTATACATAACGGGAAGGAAATAAAAAGATTAAAAAAACATTAATCATCATGTGTGTTTTTAATATCATCAGAGCTACCATAAAACCAGTAGATAAATTACACGCTATTCAGCAGAAAGAAGTAGAATAAAATTAGTATTATATTGCACTAGATTAATCATAGCCTAGGGTGACTGTCATTCTGGAGAAAATAGAAGCTTGAAAATCTAACATTTTAACCTTCCTTCTCAGCCTTTAAGAACAACAGACAAATAACAAGCCCATGTACTGAAAGAAAACAAGATTTTTTTGCTTGTGGGACTGGTAAATTTTTACCATTGTTTCTAAATGACAGCAAAGCAACATTCACAATTTGGATCCAGATGGTTAGCAGCAATGCTTCATAATAGAAACCTAATGAAGCTTTTTAGTACTAGCGACAGGTAAATGCCTGGAAGGTTTATGGCAAGGAAAAAGCTTCAATAAATAATTTGAAAATCTGTCTCTCTTCTTCCTTGGATAATTATTGTCTTTTCTGCATACATAATGTAGCAGCGATACAACAGTGAAGAAGAGGCTAGAAAATTAGAATTGCCTCTGGAGCTAATGGGGTGCACAGTGTGGAACCACAGGCTTTTTCCTTTCAGAAGATGAATAGCTACTTAACAACCATTAGGCCTTTCTCTGACTTAAGGGGAGGATTGAAAATCCTTTTCATGTAGCTAAGTCTGTCTAGGGATACAGTGCTAAAAATAGGAAGATAAGAAAATCTTCTCCATGCATGTGGAGAATAATATTTTAAACATCATTTTAACTTAAAACAGAGTAGCAGATGGTAGGTTCTATTGTACAAGGATGCGGGACATGGGAACCTTCCTTCTTGAGAGCAAGGAGGGAATGAAAATGTATAGTTGTGCTATGCACCTCTAACAAGATTGGGCCAGTGCCATTGAGAGTAGGATAGGTCAAAAAAATTCCATCTGATCTTTTCAGCAGAAAAGTTGGGGGGAGGGTTTCCATACAACATAAATGTTTGCAGGTATCACCTATTTTTTACATTTCAGATTTTTCAGCAGAAAATCCCTATGCCTGAAACTTTTCTGCTGTAAACAAAAAAGTTTGCTGAAATATATTCTGGTTTTGTCTGAATTTTTTCAACTTTTGATCAGAAGTTTTCAGTTTTGCTAAAAACTGTAAAAAAATATTTTAGGATTTTTGGTTTTGCAATGAAATCTCAAAAGATCCTGTTAAAAATTTCAACAAAAATGAAAAATTCTTGTCTTGATGAAAATTTTCTGCACACGAATGGACTTCTCTTCTCCAACCCTTATAGAAGGAAGCACTTGCTGTGCTCTTTTAATGGGTGTTAGAGCTGTCTAATGGTTAGATGCTCCCATGGGGCATGATCCAATGCCCATTTGAAGTCAATAAAATGCTTCCTCTGGCCTTCTGTGGATGTATTTACCAGGACTCTAGTGTCTTGTGCTTTAGAAATCCCACTGCTTTCCCACTCTAAAATAATGATGCTGAAAACCACAATAGAAGCCAAAGAGTGATGGTATTTAATTCAAACAAATAAAACTAATCATTAATAAACAGGACAGGCCTAGTGGGTGCACACAATAATAATATTAAAACTATTAGAAAGCAACTGGGAAAAGACTCATGAACCAGATAGCAGGAGCTCTCCTTTTCTCCCCAGCCCCTGTGTTAAAGCTTGCGATCAACACAAATGGCATGGAATAAGATAGGAGAATAGAGTATATGTATGTAGTGTATTTAGAATAAATATAATTATGCAAGTCAACACATTCTACATTATCTCTCAAAGTAGCTGGGATACATTCTCCCATTCCCTGTTTTTACAAATATAAACTACTACTGAGTGGTATACTTCACCAAGGAGCGGTGGGTGGTGATGTGAATGAGTGGTGATGTAAGTCAGCACAGTTAATTCTGGGTAGAGCTTTCTAATATAGGAGTATGTAGGGTACTGGCTATCCATTGTAGCAGTTACATGACATTCCTTTTAGCCTACAGAATTAATCAATTCAGTGTCAAAGTCAGATGGTTGCACTGTATGATCTGATTATGTAATGCAAATAAAGTGGTCCTGTTCCCTTTCCCCTACAGTTTAGCCTAGCGTCTTTTCCATGTGCTGCTGAAACAAAGCCCATGTTTTCATACTAAAGCAAATGTTTCATTTTTCAGTTTCTACAGATCAAGTGATGAGTGAGCCCCGTGGAGTCTGAGAAGAGAAACTGTGACTTCCCCTTTCCACTCCCCCACAGAAATGTGAACTGCGGTTTCTTACTGGCTAGCAACACCTTTGATTCAATTTGTATGAAAACTCACTTTACTTATTAAAATGGACATTATTGTTCAAACCTTAGAAATTTCATTTCTTATATGTTCTAAGCTGTACAACTGTCAGATTTTTATGGTTTAGATTGTAAATGTGTTTTCCTCTGGCTAATTATTGGTATTATTTGTTTTTAATTTTGATGTGTTAAAGGCCAAGGTACTGTATGATAACAATACGAAGGACGTATTTAACAGGCGAGAGAGACACTGTATACAAATGTATATTTGTAAAAGCTATTTTTATGATTAGCATGTTTTACTGTTTATCATATTTAAAGTCACTTGATATTGCATTTCTATGTTTACAGTTTAATTCAAACATGTTCATGTTATGATCAAAGACTTATGATCAATCATGTTGTATGGTATTTTTCATTAATTTTCATTATATTGATAGTTTAAAATAATTATGTTTACTAGTAGGGATAATATTGAAAGGCAAAGTAATTGCTCTGTTCATGCACTATTTCACTGTAATTGCTAAAAAGTGCAAATATGTCAACTATTGGATCAATTGATAAACTGTCAATTAAACTCACTTGTTAATCCCTTTTTTCAAACAAGCACTCTCTGTGATGCCATAGATTAGCACGGTTATTTCATCTGTATCCGTTACTCTCTCAAAGCAGTTTGTTGTTACCTTATGAAAAAGTTTACATATCAGTGAATGTCCTATCCAAATTGTATTCCAGACAGGTGAATGTTTTATATATTTCCAATATTTGAAACATGACATTAGATTACCAAATGTTTTGTTTCACTTTCAGTCAACAGGCTCTTTCCATTCCTCAACCTCTCAAGCACTCTCCACATGCTTGAAGTTGGCATAACCCATTCTCACAGAGGCTGTAGGGGAATTCAGTATATAATTTCTTAATAAATCATGCTTCTTTTCAAACAAAATGGATTCATTATTTCTCTTATGTGATACTCAAATATGTTTAATACACTTAAGCTATATAAACTGCTGATGTGACTTATTCTTCTTGAAAGAAAGTGCTGACTTGTTCTCAGTTCTGATGAAAGGCCTCTTCATGGTTCCAGAGAACCAGTTCAGATGACATTCAAGAGATGTCCACATCTTAGTATGAGTATATTCAGAAAACATGTTATGCAAGTAAGAGACATGACTTCCAGCTGAGTCAAAAAGCATACCTAGAGTTAAAAAGGAAAGTCTTATTGGCTGGATAACTGAGAGGTAGCAACATTTAGACTATGTTGCCGAGAGAGAGATCTCATCCAAGTAACTGGAGCTATGATGCAGTAAGTTTCCATCTACTGAACTAGAGAGATGTGACTTGCATTGCCACACTTGTCTTACAGTACTTGATGTTTCATTGAACAAAATGGACAGCATTTCTAAAGACAAATTTGTGTCCTGTTCCTTCAACCTTTCTCTGTGGAGCTACATCTAGCTGCAAGCCTCTTTTGAAAAAGAGTATCTAGACTACAATCATGATAGAAATGTAGACTACAATCAGTACTTTCAAAAAAGCAAGCCACTTTTTCAAAAGAGAGCACCCAGGCACACCCAGGATATGTCTTGACTACAGGGAGTGGGTTTCAAAAAAAGTGGCCTTTTTTCGAAAATAGCTTCTCCTGCGTCTAGACTGCTACTGCATTCTTTTGAAAGTAAATCAAAAGAACGCGGCAGGTTTTTTTGACTGCAGAAAACCTCATTTTACGAGGAATAACGCCTTTTTTCAAAAGCGCTCTTTCAAAAAAAGGCGCTATGTAATGCAAACTGTGCTTTTTCAAAAGATAGCATCCAGACTGCTTAGGTGCTTTCTTTCAAAAAGCAGCTTGCTTTTTCGAAAGTACTGGTTGTAGTCTAGACTCTCTTTTTAGAAAGAGGCTGTTTCTAAAGTATCGTACAAAAAAGCTTCTTTCAAAAGAGGCTTGCAGTCTAGACGTAGCCTATGGGACCTGATCCAAAGCATACTGAAGTCAATGAAAAGTTTTCTGTTATAGTGCAATGAGCTCTGGACTAGACCTGATAATATTGGCTGCATGTGATAGAGAAGCAGAACATAAATGATGAAGACCTTACTATGAAAAAATGGGAGAAGACCCAAAGATTGTGTCTATACTGGCTTCTTGTTCTACTCAAGAACAAGTATAATGGAGAATAATGCCCTTTAAAAGTATGTGAAGGAGAGTATATGTAACCCACACACCTACTGGGTGGGTGTATTATCCCATCTAGTGGTATCGAGATCACTTAACAAAGAGAGAAAGAATGAGTTTGCTCTACAACAGGCATGTCAAACTGGTGATTGGAGGGCCACATGCATCCCGATCGAAACTTTTTGTGGCCTGCCAGAACATTTTTATAAAATAATGAAGTGCAGCCCACTGGCCGCGCGGAGCACATGGCCAAATGCCTACTCACGGCCTGCTGGGCTGCTCTGTGCCCATGCTCATGGCCAGCTGGGCACTCTGTTCTATGCTTTCCAGCAGGCACTCACAGCTGGGCAGGCCACTTTGCGCAGACTCATGATTGGCTGGGTGCTCTGCGCTGGGTGCTTCAGAAGGCGCTCACAGCTGGTCGCTGTGTTCAAGCCGCCCTAGCGCCTCAGGCATCAACGTCGACTCCAGAACCCAGGTATTAGTTTGGGAGGGGGGCTGGGAGAGCCTGGCTGTGGGGGATGGAGGAGGCATTAGGTTGGGGGGGGCTGGCTCTGGAGGAGGAAGGAGGCATTAGGTTGAGGGGAGCTGAGAGTGCCTGGCTCTGGGGCAGGGGAGAGGGGTTGGGTTGTGGGGGGCTAGGAGTGCCTGGCTCTGGAAGGGGAGGCATTAGGTTGGAGGGGCTGGCTCTGGGGGAGTGGAAGGGGTTATTTTGTTAATATTTTGTTTTTTATTTATTTATTCCCAAATAAAAATCACAAAGGCTACGTCTACACTGGCCCCTTTTTCGGAAGGGGCATGCTAATTTTGAAAGTGGGAATAGGGAAATCCGCGGGAGATTTAAATATCCCCCGCGGATTTAAATAAACATGTCCGCCGCTTTTTTTCCGGCTTGGGGAAAAGCCGGAAAAAAAGCGTCTAGACTGGCCCAATGCTCTGGAATAAAGCCCTATTCCGGAGGATCTCTTATTCCTACTTTCAAGGGATTTCCCTATTCCCACTTTCAAAATTAGCATGCCCCTTCCAAAAAAGGGGCCAGTGTAGACGTAGCCAAAATGTATATTAATTTTATATCAATAAATGTCAATTTTTTTTGCAATTGCATGAATAATTATATCTTTATACAAAATCTCAAACTGACAAAGTATCTGAAATTTTCATAGTAACCTGTTCTATTTGATTAACTATGGTCTATACTTGTTTTTATTTCAACAAAACAAGTTATGTACCATATACAAAATTTAAAAGCACCTTAAATTTATATTTAAATTCAAAATTATGTAAAATTAATTTAAAAATTATTTAATATGAGCAAATGTCAATTTTATACATCAAATTATTGTAATTTTATAAAATATACCTAAAAGCCAGGTGTCCTGTATTGGTTCCGTCTGCCTGGCACCTACAATTTGTTTGCTCAACAAACCATCTGGGAATCCTAGCTGGCCCTGAAATCTATCAGTTTTCGTTTTGCGGCCCGCAGTAGGCTTCAAGCTTGACATGCCTGCTCTACAGCCTTAGCTGAGAGCTAGCAAGATTTTGCAAGCTTTAGATGCTCATGCACTAAACTCCAGAGATCCCAGGTTCTATTCTGCTTGTCGGCACTACATGTGCACCAGGTTCCACTTGAATGTATAGGGAAATTAAGTCAATCGGAAAATGAAGAAAAGATATTTTGGCTGTCAGTTACAGTGATATAAATTGGGAATCATTCAACTGAAGTTAGTGGAGTTATACCAGTTTCACTGAAGGCAGACTTTTGCTTATTTACTTGAATGAGAACAATGCTATGAGTGACTATTGCTCAACATAAAAGATTAACACTGTGGCTCATTTTGTTTTACAATCACAGCAAACTAAAACAAAGTATTATGATCAGTAATGTCAGCCCCAATAATACCAAATAGTCTGGTAATCACTGAAATACCAGGGAAGAATTTTCAAGATATAATTGTTCTTTTTGTTGTTCTATAAACTTACTAAAAACTGGAAATATTCCATCATATGCATAGTTTGTAGCCACAAAAATTAATACCAATGTTCAGCATTCTCATGGTTCCTATTTGATTTACACTTAAAAATAAATAGTCAATCCAAATCCTATCAATTCAGTGGAACTTTTACCTCAGGAGTTATTAAAGGCTTATGAGATTTGAACTGATATCTTTTTGAAATCATGGAGAAGGTCCTCTTAATAGGTCAGTTATGGTTACTGTGCTAGTAGTTAAAATAATTTCATGATTCTATATTGCTGGTGGTCTGAATAAGCAATCCCTGATCAAGCTCAGTGCCGACTAAGCCACAGTTAAATGGATACTATGAACTGTAAAGTATTGCACCACTGTGTAATACTAATATAAAGTTTTTACATTAATGTATCATCCATATTTGGTGGTTACAAGAATGAGTACAATCTCAACAGTCAACAATACTATTCTACACCATGAGCTTATTCCTGAAAGTATTTTTTTCTGGCATAACAACAGCTAAGATGGGGCCTATTGATACTATTCCATTTGAAAGCTATGGCTTTGCCGTACTGTATAATATAAATTTCTTAATGACACATTAGATTCAGAACACAGAAGGGAGCTTTAACTAGGAGTTGGTTCTATGTTGCCTGTCACACATTCAGTATAGAGTTGCTTGCCATTGTCACACACACTTGATTACTAGCTTTTTGTGGTTACTTATTCTTTGCAGCACAGAGAAAAACTAGGGAGGCTAATTTAGGCATTCGAAGTTGCAAATGAAGCCCGGGATTTAAATATCCCGGGCTTCATTTGCATCTTCCCGGGCGTAGCCATTTTAAAATTCCCCTTAGTCCAAACTCCGTGCCCGCAGCTACATGCGGCACGGAGTAGCTAGTTCGAATTAGGATCTCTAATTCGAACTACCGGTACACCTCGTTCCACGGGAAGATGCAAATGAAGCCCGGGATATTTAAATCCCGGGCTTCATTTGCAACTTCGAATGCCTAAATTAGCCTCCCTAGTTCGAACTAGGGGGCTAGTGTATGCATACCCTAAGGGTGCATCGACATTCCACCCGTAGCTCAAAATAAGCTACCACTTTGAGCTATGCTAATTGCATAGCTTATTTCGAGTGTGTTTCAAAATAAACCGCTATTCTGAAATGTCCCTTAATCCTTGTGGGATGAGGGTTACAGAGATGTCAGAATACTGATCCTGTTTTTTCAAAAGCTATTTCGAAATAATGGGCTTGTTTAAAAGAAGTGGAATAGCTATTTCGGGATATCAGAAGTATCCCGAAACGGAATCACAGTGTTGACATACCCTAAGTGTTTAGAACCTGATTCTCATTTATGCTAGTGCCCCTTTTACACCACTTTGGCAGTGTAAATATAAATTACAAACATTTTACGGAACCTTTATATTGTCAGATGCACAGGAACCTCAGTGTAAAGTAGAATGAGATCCATAGCATTCAGCATAAGCATCACCTTACCCTAGTAAGGAACCAAGTGTCCGAAATGATCATTTAAAACATGTTAAATTACATGATAGCTATTAAAAAGGGACATTTGTGGCTGTAATTCTCTAGAGCCACAGTAACACCCAGTGACCATTTCAGGTACCTACTTCTGTTGTATAACACTGTTAGGAAAAATCAATTTGGCTATTGAATATTCAGGTTGCTCAGCTTATTTACCTGGCATTGCTCAGGTCCTTAACTCAAATAAGTTTTGTTTTTTCTTCATTTAAATCATTGCTCTGGGGTGGAGCTTATGATGATATTTAA